AAAATTCTTAACAATCTGTTGCATATTTGAGCGTGTCACCTATTTTTTACTATGATTTCATTAGAAAACTGTCCCATTACCGGCATAGAAAACGTCGACAATCCCATTTTAATTTGTCACGAGTCAAAATGAGTACTGATTATAGAGATTTAGGATGTACTAGTGGCATTATTTTGTGAACTTTACTTATCGAAAGAACTGTCTCGTGAATATTTCTCTCGAATGTCTGCCCAATCGGATATTAAGAGTCTCGTATCTATTATTTTTTTTGTACTAAATTATTATCAAATTCAAAATTATGGAAGATTCGTACTTAATGCACGCTGAGCTCTAGCTCGGATATTATTGAGCAAACATTTGTAACAAATTGATTTCAGTATATTTTTGTTAGCATCATGAACTTCATCGAAGGTTTCTTCGTCAATTAATGAGTAAAAACATTAGAAGATTCTAAGTCTTTTATACTGTTCGATCGTTTACAAATCTTACAGGAATTTTCTATTCTATCAACAAGAGAAGTAATTTTTCCGATACTCTCAGTAGTTATCATCGTGATTAGTCACTTTTCTATTATTTTTTATTTTTAACAGTGCTTATTTTAACTTTTCTCATGGTGATACTATCGAAGAACAAAAATAACATTCAAATTCACAAATACTAAAACACGGACTCGATTGTGGCACTATTCTTCAATGAACACCACCCACACCCTTGACGAATTGAGTATAAAACAGTTCTTTTCTCTAACTCTAATATTAGTCAAAAAATTCAAATATCTAATCATGTTTTACATGTTTATCTAAAAACGCAGAAAGGAGGAGTTAAATTACAAAAGTATGTTAGCGAAGAAAAATAAACAAAATTTTCATTATTTAATTTTTATTATCAATTATGTTGCTTGATTAAAATATGATTAATAGTTTGCAGTTGAAAGAAATTCTTTTTCTATTCTTACGATTCTTACTCACATTTTGATAAAAGTTTCGTTGAATTTTAAATTTATTCTGATATTGTTATAATCATATGTATGATCTGAGAAAACGTTTGATTTTTCAAGATAAATAATAATAATTTATTTCGGTAATAATGAAAATATTTAAACAAGAGACGAGAGGAAGAGAAAAGGAAGAAGTAGGTCACTTCCTCTATTTATAATTATTTATTTGATGTACTTGGAAATCTTATCTTGTAAGGAAGAGCACTTTTAATTGAACATTTATATAGATTTTTCTCTTCCTCTTATAGAAGAAATTAATTTAATGACATTTTTTCAACGATGCTCACTTCATCAGATCATTTTTGGTGTAAAATGATACGTACATTTTTGTATACATATACATTTACACACATTTTCTATATTTATTTGATAGTAGAACGAATGATGAAAAATCCAAAAGGAAAAACTTTGTCTAGCATCCCTTTCTTGTTCATTCCACTATCAAGAAAAGCAAGAGAGAATACGTGTGGTGTATATTCAAAGATGTGCGTGTTATTTTATCATATATTTCATTTTACATCAAAAATAGTCTGATGAAGTGAATGTCATTAACGAAGCACGTCACTAAATAAAAATTTTAAATAATAAGAAGAGAAAAATTTATATAATTAAGTATCCAATTAGATGTATTTGACAGAGATGATAGTGTCATCTTCTCTTTCCAACTGCGCAATAATACCGTTGAAATCAAATCAATACATAGGTCAAATCATAAGTAAGAAAACAGTACAACACAAGAGAACAAGAAAAATAATGAAGGACAAAAAAGAAAGAGATAGAAAACTCCAGCACCTCACATGTCTATGGTGACTAATTATAATTTTTATTTGATTTCACATCTTCTTTATAGTTATCAACATTGATCTTCAATGTTCATCTTCATCTAATCTTTGATAATTATCGTGACCTATTTAAAAAAGTGCTTGAAATAGTTTTATGTGATTGTCGATTTCTGAAAACCATAGGATTTCACTGGAATCGGTCGAAAACATGCCGAAGAATCAATAGTATCTAGCAAGGAAAACACAGAAAATTGATAGAACTTGGAAACAGTATTTCGATCGAAGAGTCTCCGGATGTTTTCCGATGCTTTTCGACCGTGTACTACCGAAAAGAACAGAAAGTTGACCTCAAGTCACCGGAAAACATCGAGAGACTTTTCGGTCGGAATCCTGCTTCCACGTTCTATCGATTTCTGGTGTGGGTGTGGGGTGTTGGTGCTGATCAATTTTCCCAAGTGGTGAAGCATCCCTTCAATACTAAACTGGCTGCAATAAAATAAAAAAGCATTGAGAAGAAGATTAAATAATGTTGCACTTTTATTGATTGCCAAACATTACATTCTAAATACTAAAAACATATTTCCAACAAAACCAATGAGGGACTGAAAGATTTGAAGCAAAAAAATAAGGGTGCGAGTGTGGGTGTACGTATGGCTATACCCAGTGAAAAAATTGATGGATTAAAATCGATTGAAATTTCAAAATTCTATGGACATAATCGAAATTGATAATCGGATTTTTGTGCAACAAAATCCGAATTTTAATCGATTATAATCAAAATGATTTAATCAATATTAATCGATTTTGGTTTGATAACGATTAATAATTTTGATTATAATTGATTAAAATTTGGATTTTGTTGCATAAAAATCAGATTATCAATTTCGATTATGTCTATAGGATTTTGAAGTTTTAATTGATTTTAATTCCTCTAATTTCACTGGCATATATACCCGTCAATCTAATCCAATCTATTATAACCTTTTAATCTGCTTGAATCTATTATTATCTGTTAACCCGATCCAATCGATTATTATTTGTTAATATCCTCCAACCCATAATTACTTGTTCATCTGCTTCAATCTATTGTTACCTGTTAATCGATTTGAATTTATTATCATTCTTTAATCGATTACAATCCGTTATTAATTCTTAATTGATTTTATTCACATAAATGCAAGTTGAGCGCTTTCCTTGGCATTCGAACACGAAATCCTACCTTTCCATGATTTTTTTTTTGATTCCTTATGGTGAGAAACCATGAAGTTGTCACTAAGCAACAGTCTGACAAATAAAGTAAACTTGGAACAGCTATATAAATTGTGTCAAATAGAGATGGTGCAATTATATCAATAATCGATTAAAAACCAAAAAATCGATTTTAATTAATTAAAATATTCTGATCGATATTAGTCATTAATGTGTACAATTTTACCCTTCTCTATATAGTACTTCTGTGTATATTAAGTGCTTTTGTAATTAGTATTCTCACAGATTGTATTCATATCATGTGTGATAAACTTACTATTGATTAAAATTAATTGTAACCGAATAATTTTATCTAAATTATCTTTTGGAAAAAGCACTTATATCATTCATAATCATATATATTGTGTCTGTTCTAGTACTACTATCTTACTAAATATTACATGACATTATTATCTACTATAGTTATCGTAGCAAATAATATTCCAACCAAAATGCCGCGTATCAGTCTAAATCTTTTGGTTCTGTATGGATCTTACTGGCATTGTCCTACACTCTAACGATCGATTGGAAAGATTCAGATTGATGAAGGATTAAAATCAAATTCGTACCCTAGTTATTGTTGATAATCAAATGAAAACTCATGAATCGAATTTCTATCAATGGGGATTTTAATTGATTGAACAGATTGAAATCGATTGTGAATGAAAATCCGATTTCAATTGATCTCATTCAGATTATAATCTTGCATCAATTATTTTAACTTCGCTATTCGTGATCTTCTTAATTATGTTGCTGTTCAAAAAAGAATTCGAGCTAGTTTGAATAGATTCCTTCTTTTTGATCGTCATATTGGAAATGAAACATTTCTAAAGGCATTTCTTTTATTTGATGAATCTGAGTGAGACAATCAATTGTTATCAACATCTTTTAAAGATATGGTAGAAATAGATAAAACCGATGAAAATCCAATGAAACAAACATTCCAAGTTATATGCATTTTAAAATAAGCTCAATGAAAAAAAGGAAATATTGGTATGTTTCTTCTGACTAAAATGATAAATATTATATATTTTACAATTGGAAAATTCTCATTAAAAAATATTATATTCGACGTTCATTCAGATGATTTAATCTGTATTATTGGATCTGGCAGATCTGGAAAAGTTCGTGCCTTTTCAAACTTACATATAATTTTACTTTTGATGGATCATTTTGTTATGTATCACAAGAATCATGTAAGTGGATTATTATTATTGAAAACTCCTTGAAAGATTACTTATTGTATTAATAGAGATAATCTCGTTATCAGTAAAAAATAATATTCTTTTGTTAAAAAATATAATTATAAGTTGTTTCAACGTGTTGTCCATGGAACTGCTCTCGACACAGTAAGTCAATTTTCATTCTTATATGAGCGATTTCAAGTAAAACAGGACATACCTACCGTTCATTAGATTTTGATTCTTTAGAAGAGTAATTTTTCTGAATAGATTCTTTTAGCATAGATATATGTAGAAATGTTAACTCATTCAGCTGACTATTAATTAAAAATTTAATAACGAATATCTCTCTATTCATATGAGAAAAAAATCCGAAAACGTCAGAATAGACTTTAAGAGTGTGGGCGTCAACTCATCCCCATTCACATTGACAACAACTCCATATATAACACATTCAATATGTGTAGTTGGAATTCGGAATATATGAGTACATGAATTGTAGAATTTTAGATCCTGAAGGAATACATATTATACCCCTATGTACGCAGCTTTGAAATGAAAATGTCTAGTTCTAATCAACACGAACAAGAATAATACGAGTAAAGACGGTGGCGATGATTAATACAGTGGCATATCAATTTTCCGTACGATCGAATGCTAATTATCTTTTGTCGTATTCATTGTTGTTGATTTATTTAGTTTTGTTTATTTAGTAAATATATAAAGCAAAAGCAATTGAAGAGAGCGCCAAAAGAGACAAAACAGTCAGAGAATGAAGCAGAAAAGCAATGATTAGACGACGGATTTGCGTCGAGAGTTGGCAATTTTAACTAATTCGTCGACTTCATTCCAACCAATTTCAATCAAACAATTGATTCGTTTGAGATCCTCATAAATGCAAGCGACATATTGACGACCGACAATTGGTACTGGTGGTTTGGTCGGATTGATGAGACCACTTTCAGTTTCCTTGGCATTGAAAAATGCCGGAATACTTTCACCTGTCAATAGAATTTCAAATGAGATCATATTCGAACGATAAAGAAATAACGAACCTAGTTGTTCATAAGCATATTGTTTCATAGTTTCGTAGACACGTCCTTTCAAATTCCGAATGGAATCTCGATTAAACTTGAGAATGAAATGATCTTTGGGGGGCATTGCATTCTCTGCTGGTCCCTTATTCACTTCACATAACGTTGCCAGAAAAGCCAATTTCGACTTTTCAATATGTTCTAAAGCCGTATCTTTACCTTTCAAGATTCCCATATTGTACACAGCGGATTGTCTTTTGTCAAATAGCTTATGTATGTGAAGAAGAGAAACAAAACTAATCTCAGTAGAGAATCGTTGTCGATCTTTTCTAGATATACTAAATAGAACAATTCTCGTTCCATGAGTAACAACAGAACAAGAAGAAAGAAAAAATGTTGTCAACAAACAAATGACAAGTCATATTAAAGTAACTTATTCATTCCGTCTTGTTATTATTAGATATTACTCTTCGTTTGAATCTTTGTTTTCTCTCTTTAATTAGCTTTGTTTGTCTAGCAATGCAATTTGTTGTCAAAAGCGATGAGTTCTATTAGATTCAATTAAACCAAAACAAAACAGAATTTTAGTGTTTTTCTGCACTTTGTCCTGATATCTCTCATAATGCTGATGAATCATGTAGAAACACTCACGCTCATCATCTCTCCCGTGACCACTTCTTTACTTATGTCATTCGTTGAATTGGATTTCATCCTTCTGAAACTAATTAGATCAATAGAGACCAAGGAAATGAGACTAATATGCGAAGAACATTAAGACAAATGAGTCGAAACAAGATGAATCATATGTACAACGATTAATGACACGTTATTCGATTATTGTCGACGTTGAAAGGTATCGAAAGAGATTTATATTTAAAAATGATGAAGAAACAAAGAACTTTTCAAATGAGATCTGTTTTCATATACGTTAATTGATATTATTAATAAAATGTTTTTGTACTGGTTTTCTGTTTTGACATGAAGGACGATTTTTCATAAAGATCTGTAAGAGATGCCAGTTATACTAGCTATTATTCATCGATCAATTATTTAGACATTTGTGGTATTCTGGTTGAGCAGGGTATGAGTGTGTGCATAAGATACATTCATACTCTTAAAAATCTATTTTTTTCTTCATCCCAGGTCAAAGAATTAGACGAAATCGTATGAAAATCGTACAAAAAAAAACGCAGTCTCAGAAATCTTACATCATATCGTACTATAAGATGATTGAAAGATCTTACCGCCACATAAAATTTTCAATAATTTTATAGTAATATCTTACAGAATATCAAGATACTTCAAGAATCTTTAAGTACGATCTGATGTAAGATATCTGAGGCTGTATTTTTTTGTACGGTTTTCATCTGATCTTACAAGACCTAATGTCTGAGTTTTTGACCAGGAATAGGAATAGATTTCACCAAATAACTTGCCTCTGACGAAGAATAGCTCTTTGATGAAAAAAAAACAAGTATAATAAGAAAACTAAAATGATACTCTAATTCAATCATATTTCTAATTCCCTCTCAGGATAAAATCATAAAAATAACTAATATTTCTCGCCTAATTTCAAGAACAACTTCAATATAAACTTTTTAAAAATTTGAAAGAGATCTTCTGATATTTTGTTAGAATCTCTATTTTCCTATATAAAGATACAACTATGATGAAGATAAAATGGTAATAGGGCTTCTAAATTTTGTCAGGTTCTGAATGAAACATACAACAAATTTGAAAAATTCCTTTATTGATCGTTGTTGATACTTGACTCCGCATTGGTATTGAAATTCGTTTTGTGATCTAAAGATCTGCAAATCTTCCTTATAAATCTTAGTGGGATCGGGAAATTCAAATTCTGAATGCATTCTAAATACAAATTGGCAAACGTCTAAACTGAATCCTCTTATTTTCTCTTCAAGATTCTGTGGGTGTCGGCCTTGACAGTATTATGATTATAAGAGTTTGACTTGTTGTTCATATCTTCCATTCCCAAGAAAGTAAACAGCGAAGTTGATTTTTTTGTCTTATCAGCGTTCAGGATAGAACTGTATATCAATGAAATAAATTTCTTGATTAATTATTACAGAAATCTTTTAAAAAGCATAAAAAATGTTGTTTGATTGAGTGAAAAGAAGAAAAAATAATCAGGATGACCATCCGTATTGTGATTTAATCAGTAATTTATCATTTGAAAATTCAAGTGTAACGATACTATCCACTTTTTGACCTTCTTCTTTGATACCAGTATACTGAACTACCATTGATGTATACCCTCGTACACTAGATTCTGACACCACATTTCCCTTTTGACTTCCAACCACTGCTCTTACTGGTTGACATGTCCATCCAATTTGAATCATGTTGTAATTATTGTTCTTTTGTTATCTTATAATGTGTTATAAAATCGAAGTTCACTTGTGTCTTTGTAAACAAAACTCTATTTACAAAGCCAAACTTTGCTATAGCAACCATATTAGATGATGAACCTTGATATTGTACTAGAATAGTATCTGGAATATTTGAAGGTGATGGTATAACTTTTTCTGGGCTACCAACATACTGTGTCCATTGATCACATGCCCAGCCAAAATGAATTTGTTGGTATTGTTCAAATGTTTTCGATCATTTGGTAGAAAAACATTTGTTGTAGATGTACGAGTGGAACTGTAAGTATTTTGTCTACCAGACACCCATCCGTCTTCTAATTTGGATTCTAATTTTCTATCCCCAAATCCAAGTTGAATATAACCAATTCCTTCAACTTCTTCTTGACCTTCATCCTGATATAGAACTGTGACGATTTTTGATAGAAGGGATATTAGTGCTGATGCTATTACATTTTATTCTATGCCTTCATATCATATAATCGCATTGTTTACATACATAGCACACGCTTATATACGCAAGTAGAAGAAGAGGGGATGAAAAGAGAGGAGATAAGGCCAAGGAGAGAGTCGATATAGGAGAATAATAGGATAAGCACAGAATTATGGCAAGGTAAGGACAATGTATAATATACGAGTTAGTGATATGGGATGGTTAAGTATCATGTGTGGAATCCAATCAATCGGGATCGTTACAGGAATAGTCATTGATGCTTTATTCGACGAAATGTTCGCTTCTTCTATAGCATTTTCTTTACTTCCAAGCGTTAATATTACTTGTTGATATGGCGAGCCAGTTTGTATCTGATTACAATGATCTCTTGTTATTACATAACTTGATGTTAAATCAAGCAGTTTTTCGTTCTTCTTCCAAAGAATTCCATTATAAAATGAAAATGTCACTGTAGGCTCTCTTTGCAATACGTTCGATGGTATTGAACCTTGATAGTGTACAATAATAGTATTCCGATTATGTGGTGATATTGGTGTTTGTGGTGTTATCAATTTTCCAGGTCTACCAACAAATTGTGTCACTTGATCACGTGTCCATCCTAATTGAACTTGTTGAAATTGTTCAAGCGTTAGTGAATTGTTGCCTGTAGTTTTTGTGAAGGCAGAAGCAACCTCGATGCCACTGGAATACGGAATAATTGACAGCATTAGCAATGAGACGATGAACATCATTTTCACTCAGCAAATACGTAAGTTGTCGAATACGTTGACGTTATTTTTTTCTCACAACAAATATAGAATCGACAGCATCAGTTACTTGAAAAGTTATACATTTTTATTTACGTGCTTTTTTTTCTCATAAACATCAAGTTTCGGCGATTACTTCATCTTTTTTGCTCCAATAGAACTGCACATTATGACCCATGCGGTACATATTATTTTAAGTGCTCAGATCAAACAAATCGGACAGTAGAATTGTGCAGAAGTGTGACGAAATTGTAAGAAAATCAGATGCAATCGTGCACACATTGATATGTTGCCCTGAAACTACTACTTCTGGCAAAAACGCATCTTATAATTTTTATATGAACGTATTTTAAGGTCTGGTATGATCGACCAAGATCATGTCGTATGATTTTCTCAGCTAGTTGCAAGATTTCGTAGGATTTCTAACAAAATCAACCAGATGATTTATTCAATTGGTTCTTCTATTAGGATGATTAATCAGATTTGGGGTACAGGTGTTGGATATCAGTGTCGTGAAAACAAGGCCAACACCCACACCCACACCCTATTCGAAAAGCTCATAAGAGACCTGAAAATACAAATAAATAAATAAATAAATAAGACATGACTGACAAATTTTCTTATTTCGAAATGCAATTGACACCACTTTTAAAATCGTTAACAATTCTATAGCATCAAATGTGAAAATGCTCACGCTATTCGGTCTCGATATTTTTTTCATTGATTTGAAGAACGAACTGAAAGAAGAAGGGTGTGGGTGTGAGTGACCTGTGTGAGTGTCCTTACATCCACATCAACATCAATACTCATACCCTGACCCACACCCACACCACACCCTGTTTATTTTATTTAGTCTGTGCGTAATCTCCGTGTTAAATATGCAAGGACAATAAAGAAAGCAAAACATAACAGCATCAACACTGTCATCAGTTTTTTCGAAGACAATGATTGCGAGGACGTTTCTCTAAGATCTTTGAAAAATTGTACTTCGTATGGCGAATAAGGTTTGCCGGTTGCATTGAAAATGTCATGAAACCACACAAGTGGAATGCTGGCATTGACAGGCGATCCCCATGGAAAGTACGTTTGGGTTTTACCGGCCACAAGTCCCCAGTTGACAGCACCGATGTTCTCCTTGTGAAAGAAAACGGTGTGCGTGTGAAAGGTGCTACCGATCGTTCGAGCCATGTATTCAGTACAAATTAATGGCCGATTGAACTGCCGCAGTTCAGCAACTTGTTCCATGAGATTGTCCAGGGGACTATAATTATGAAAAGAAATGATGTCGGATGCTTCTAATTCAAATTGAGCTAATGATTCGTCCAGAGGCCCAGCAATGCCAATTGTGAGTGGTTGATAAGGATCGGCTGCGAGAGCAGCAGAGTAGATTTCGCGAAGAAGAGGTAAAACGATGGGCACTTGATGGCTGCCCTGAGGTTCATTGTACAGATCCCATATGACCACGCGAGAGTCGTTGGAGAAGCGAGAGAGAATATCGATCGTATATCTAATAAAAATAAAAGTCATGTGATTTCTTTTTGAACAGAATAAGGCATTGTTTGAAACATGAGAAATCTAGTTATTATTCATAAAGACTAGATATTTTTTGCTCGAACATCGTCTCAATATTTGTAAAATGTTGCCTCAGCCCTCGAAAATTTCTAACATCAAACTACAACTCTTAGTTGATATTATTTCTCTGACCACTGATACTTTTCTACTTACCGTTTCAAGAGAGGCCATTTGCTCTGGTCCAAAAGCCAAGCTTGTCCTGGGCATCGCACCCACTGTGAATTATGCTGACCAGGTATAGGTTCTGGTTGTGGACCTAATTTGGGATCAGGTCGCCAACATTCATCAAAGAGAACAAATATTATTTTGATATTAAATCGATCAGCGATGGTGAGAAAGTCATCAATCTTTTGAAAATAAGCCTTAGCATCTTGTTCATAGAAAAGAACATGGAGAAAAACACGCATCACATTCATATTGATCCCCGAAGCCCATCCAAGTTCGCGCTTCATAGTAGATGAATCAAATGTTTGCCACATATCAATTATGTTGACGGAGGACGAAGGTACAAAATTGCTTCCAAAGTACCAAGGCTGTTCGGCGTACCAGGCATTCGCTTCTTCAGGTGTCCAACGAGCGCCATCCACCTCGACTTTGATGCATCCACACATGATTAATAAAACGAAAGACAAAAGCATTTTGTTCTCAAGGACAAGTGATCACGCGCGTTATAACGACAAGGTCGAGTGTAAGATAAAATAAAATGAGGTAACTATACAGCACAATGATGAATATTTTTTTGAAAAGAAAGACAGTTAGTCACTGACAAAGTATTAACGGTTCATGTACTATCACATATTAATGTTCAAAACCACCTGGGTGTTTCTATAAAGTCTAAAACACCATTCTAGGATCTCATGGTACTGGCTGTTGAAGCAAACGATATAACTGAATTGCGTAAGACGGTCAATTTCACGTAGCGACAACTTCAAAGATGCTTTTTTACGACAGAACCTAAAACAAATTTGAATATCTTTCACTTCTCGAGTTCCAACATGGATGCTATTCACGTTCAACAAATACCATTTGTTCTATAAGACGTGTTACAGCCTTATGTAGGCAAATATTCATGTAAAAAAACCTGGAAAAATCTGATGTTAATCGTTTTTTTTTGTGATTAAAATCAATTAAATTTCTAAAAATCGATTTTAATGAGATTATTTGATTTTTAACCCTTTGATTATCATACTATAAAAAAAGCTACACCTGTTTTATAACTATTTTTCACAGAATAATTCATAAAAATTAGCATGTAATCTTTTCATTCAAGTATAACGAAGTTCAATATAACTTACATTAAGTAAATCACGTGCAAGAACACATAAAATATTTTTGACATATATTCCTATGTCTAAAAAAAGCTAATTTAACAGTTTACTCGAATTCAATGCAACAAAAAATAATTTAGTAATAAAAGGGTTAATCCAATAACATCGATTAAAATTAGATTTTTTCCAGGTTCTTTCACATGGGCAACGCATTTACTGGTAAGCATTTCAGACGTTTGTGATAGAATGAGACGTCCACACGTGTTATACAATGCATGGTATTTTATAATGCATGTTTCTGTGGCGTCACCATGCCTAACACGGTTGTCATGAACATTTGCCTCTCACCATTTTCATCATTTGTATATTCTTCTTTCCAACTTTGGTGAATATAGTGATTTCAAAGTATTCCGAAACGGTATTCTGCCGACTGATATAATCTAATTTTTACTGTGAAAAAAAGTAGCTGTCGTCACAGTGCAAGTAGTCCTACAGATCTAATCTCATTTGATGAGCTGAGATTTTAGAAGATCAATACGAAGATATCAAAGTGAGTGAGGACAAAAAAATGTATCAGAAAAGCAGTGCTAAAATCTGTTCATTTTCATTCCCAACGATCTGTTTATTAAGACTACCCTGATAAAATCCGACCAAATTTGTGCGACTATTTACAATTTCAGAACAAATTTTACAATTCGGGGTAAATGTGAATTTAGTCATCTTGTTGCATGACTACGACTCGTATTATGCAAGTGTCAGTTGTCTTCGTCCTTCTTCTATAAATGGGCATGAAGCAAAACAAATAGAAAAAAAAACTACGTTTTAAATTCAAAGGAGAAGTATAAACAACTCAATTCCATTCACCTTGATTAGTCATCACACAGAAAATTGATTCGCCTACCTTTCCACTAACGATTACAGCTGAGTTTAATAAATGTCAGACACCACTACGGCGCTAACGGCTGGCACATAAAAAATGGCAGTTTGAGTATTTTTGGAATAACTTCACCATTTTTCATCTGTTTAGTCTAATCCTTTTTTAAAAAGATTCATTTTCCAATTATGCACAAAACTGTTTAATTCATTGTTTTATATGATATTTCGATAAACTTTTAGATAATGAAAAGTAAAGACGTCCAACACCTCGTACTTCCAAAGTTCCAAAATAGTAATGTTTCCAACAAAACTTTTTCGGAATTTACGTGGCGCAATCAGTTTAAAAACAGTAAAACAATGGTGTAACATGAGAAACAAATTGCTCTATTGAATTTTTATATGCTCTTGATAAAACATGAGTTGCACGAACTGAGGTTGTCTTTAGACTTTATAGTTTGATTAGGCGCGTACTTAATAGATGTTACACCATCAGTTATTTTGGTTAAAGGTACGGTAAACCATGATCGTTACGTCAATAAGATGCTTTCAGTGGCATCGAAATATGTTAATACTGTATTTGAAGATGACTGAGTATTTCGGCAAGATGATGCAAAGCCACATATGCATAAATTAACACCACAGTGGTGTAAAGACAAATTTTCATCATTCATCGAGAAACAGCGTTGGCCTTCTAACAGTCCCACTTTAAATCCTTTGGACTATAGTATATGGAATGAAATCGTTCATGTCATGAACTGGAGCAAAATTAATTCACAAAAAAAGCTTGTTATCGCAGCTCCTTTGAAGTTGAAATGTGGAACTCACTATATCCTTCAAAACTTGTCATCCTAATACATCATTTGGGCGTGGGTGGGTGTGGGGGTGTTGGTGTGTAGGTGTGGATCTTCTCTTGGTCATCCCCACTTACACCCACACTCAATTTAATATATAATCCATATCTTGGCTAAATAAAACAATCGATATTTTAGTTTTTCGTTTATGTTGCAATTAAGAATTTTACCTTGTATAAACTTTTTGTGCTTCCATAGTTCGACGAAATTCTTTTGAAGAAATAAATCCATCTTTATTTGTATCATTTTGTAGAAAAGCTTCCGATGTTGTTCAATCTTTTATCTAAAATAAATAGGCTACAAAAATTTTATTTATCACAAAAAAAAACTTGGTCCATTGAGAACATTTCCTAAAAATGAAAGATAAGATTAAATATTAATAAATAATATTTTATTGATTATCTTCAAGCATTGATAATAACATAATAATCATACTTTTTGTAATTTCATAAATTCACGTAATAATTCAATTTGTGTTGGATCCTAGATAATGAAAACTTCTTATTAATAGATAAATCAATGATATTTTACTTGAAATAATTTTCTTTGCATACATACAAAAATATAGAGAAATCCAGCAATTGCATCCCATAAACGACTATTTGCTAATGCTAATTGATCTTGTGGACATGGACCCTAAAAATAATTTTATATTTGATATACAAAATTTAATTAATAATAACTCTTATCAAAATAAATCTTTTTGTTTTGATATATCAAACCTGAATATATTCCGTTAATGTATTAAAAACTTGTTTAGCAACATTAATAGCTCGACAAAGATTTTCTTTTCCATGTGCATCAACTGTTTCTTTGTCTGAATAATGCCAATAAAAATCCATTAATAATTCCTAAAATTAAAATAAATATTTCATAAATTTTTTTTTCTTCGTTTTTTTTGTATTACTTGTAAACTAAGTAAATAATCAACAGTACAAATAATAATATTGACATTTGTACTGCTTCTAGCTCGTAAACGAAGATAATTTTGAAATTCAAGATTATGTCCTTCACATAAAAGTTGACAAAAACGAAATAATGATATTATAAAATCAGCATCATGTAAATTGTTTTCTCCAGCTATGCCTTCCGAACCAACACCTATATATAATAAAAGTATTCAATATAAACATAACAAAATTATTCAATTAAACATACCAAGTACTTCAGCTTTAATACAACGTTCAAATGTATTAAGATCAAGTAACTACAATTCGCCATTAATGTTGCTAATAAAGTAAAACATCCAACATCTTTTGTTTCTTTTAAATAATTTAACATTCGCTAAAATTAATTCAAAATCAATAACATAGAAAAATAAGAAAATAAATATGTACTTTTTGAACTTCTCGATTACCACCATGTAATAATGATATACCAAGTTGTAATGTACGTCGAAGCATTTCATTATTTTCACCTTAAATTTGTTTAAATTGAGTAAAAATAAATAAGATTGATAAAAGAAATACCTTTACTTGCACTTATATATAATAATACAGTTTCAGCAGCACCACGATTTGCTAATCGATTTTGTTCATAGAGTCATTTTTGTTTTTTCATTTCTTGTTCCTTAAAATATTTAATCTTCTAATTTTTTATCAAAAATAAAAATGTATATTTTGATTATCTTACCTGAAATGATTTGACTTCTTCTGCTCCTTCATCATTATCGTCGTCAGCAATAACACAACTCTTTAAACAAAATCAAAAAAAAAAATATATATATATTAATATACATAGACCACCAAATTATTTGACCAGATTTCTTGAGTAGAGAACTTTAATTTCCAACTAGAGTTAAGTGAAACTTTTTGAAAAACTCCAAATCTCAGCTTTTCAGTTTCTAATATATACTTTTAGAAGAATCAACACATTAAAGCGTTATAGACCATAGTCTGAGTTGAATTCGAATGAAAATTTTCTGATTCATTTCAGTTAACAAATATCTTAGAGTACTAGAGTTTGCTCTATCATTCTGTGTAAATCAAATAGACCTGCAACAACATATTCTCGGAGTTGAAAAACATAGTTTTAGATTTTTCAGAAATTCTGTTCTTCGAAAATACTTGTTGGAAATAAAATTGTTTTACTGAAATCTTTATTTGGGTTCTTCGTAGCTTTCACGAGAGTGAAAAAGAAGTTCAATCGAATTATTTTTGAGAATTTTTTTGTTTTTGGTTTAATATATAAATCTTACTTTATTCATAATTGTCGAATAAGATAAATACACAATATTTTCAGTAATTGAAGAAACTTGTGCAGTAGTTGCAGCACGATTTAAACATTGTAATAATTGTTTTAATGGATATGATTTCATTGTTATTGTTCAACTTTTAGTTTCAGTTTCTTCTTTCATCGTTGTTACATCTTGTTCATCCATTTCATAAGAATCATTCTTTAATTATTTAAAAAAAAAAAAAGAAAACAAACCAGACTATACAATATAACTTACACAAAGATCTTCAATAAAACATGCACGTATATCTTCTTCAGCTTCAAGCCATAATTCTCGATATGCACGTAAAAACATGTTCATAGCACGATGTCTTGCAACAGAATGTAATGGTGCCATACGAAAATAAGCCATGATTGCTTTTTTTGCGTTATGTTGAAACAAGTTTTCGCCATGTACTATGTCGACGTGTTGAAGGATGATGAACAAAATATAAACCAAATAAAACTTTAGCCATTTTTAACGTATTTTTGATAGATATTTCTTCTGAATGATTTATACCACTATGATACGATTTTGAACCAATCTTTCGATATAATATACTTTGCTAATTATATTTATTCACTATTTCTCCCTAGGAAATTATATATATTAAGGAATATAATTTGAGAAAATATGTATGAAGAATACCTGTTCTTGTGCACGAAAACTTTCGCCAAGAAATTCTTGAATGATTGCTTCTTGCTCATTCTAGAGAATAATGAAATATATATATATGATACAGGAGAAATATTGTCACAACAAATTGTTAAATCTAAAATCAATTGTTCACTTGTTGGATTTTCAACTTTTTTCATCGTGTGCGATTATCATCCATTGAATGAAAAAAAAAATTATACAAAATATACTTCGAAAGCATGTTTCTTTAATTTACAAAAACAAGTTCAGCTATCATAATGATCGATTTGTGTTAGATATAGGATCAAATATTGAAAACAGAAAAAAGGTGTCTTAGTCTGGTATTGCTTTTCGTCTACTAGCCCCAAAATTTAAAATTATCAATATGGTTTGTTTTGTAACTGTATCCAGAAAATCTGTCATTCAAGGTCTATTTGAAGATATTTTCAAAGTTCACGCGTATCCATTTCTATGCTTTCAACAAACTTCACTGTCTTTCTCATTACTTTTGAACAAACAGTAAACTGGGCGGAAAGACTCTCGAAAAATGGTAACTTGCTTATGAGATTAACTTTATCTCATTTGATAGGCTTTATTAAGACATATATATCAAACCTGAAACTTGAATTCAAATATTCAATTATCTGCAACAGGTGTGAGTGCCAAGAAAGGACATAACTGAATACTTGAATAGTTGAATTTCAAGTGTTTAGATAAACAGTTGAAATAGCTTTTCAATAATTGAATTCAAGTTTCAAGCTTGAAACTACTGAAAAATCGGAAAAAGATGTGAGCGGTTTAGCAGGTTTTAGCGTGTTTATGAATTTAGGCTGGTGATTGGGAGTACGTAGTAGCCAGTTTATGTAGCTATGATTGTGATCAGTCGTACTCTAGCCTTATAAACACCTTCATTCACACAAACCGAAATAATCTTTTCTGAATCCATTCCGACAATCCATATCCCACACGCATTTTTCTCTTAATTTTGTTGTTTGGTAGTTCTTAATCTGATGTGCTATTTTTTTTTTCTATGTGAAAGAAGTGTCTTTTAATATTATGAGGTGCGATTTTGATAATAATTTATACGAAAATCCACATGCACCCACTTCGTCAAATTCCTAGAGTTCAATGGACTGCTGAAGTGTGTATATTAATTTTGTAATATAAAGTGTTTTTGGTTTGGCTATTATTTTTTTTTCTAGTTGATTTTGTCTGCTGCCCTCTCTCTCTCGTAGTGTCAGGATGGACAGATACACTTTTGCAGAGACTAAAATTTTGATCTTCTTTTCATATTCTTTTTAGTCAGCAATCTAAAAAGAAAATGCTAAATAATAGTATTGTCTGAGTATTTTTCTGCAGCGACAATCATTTTGATAGGTGTTCTTTGTCTATGTATTGTAGTATGCAACTGAGACGCTGGTGATATTTGTATAGTTCTTCACGTGCTTTTAATGACAGAAATAAATGATATCGTTTATCACTTTCTTTCTGTTGTGCTGTCAAATGGTGTGCTTCGCAAATTAAAGGTAACATTTTCATATATACTGACAAGATTTATAGTAACATCATTGATCAACCAAAGACTCTAATAAATTGAAGTATTGGGAAACCCTCACATACCATGAGCTAACTTAGATAAAAGATTTTTATAAAATTGTCTAAATATTTGCTTTTATATCAATAATGAATCGAGAGCTAACAACAACCTGAAAGCAGAAGAAGAAAATAATATCAGTTTTTATTCTTTGTACAAGGTGATGCAAAATATTTTGCAAGTAGGGTACGGCTTCAATGACAAATGATATAAAAATATATAATTCATAGGATAATTATAATCTATAAAATTATAGAAGTTTCTATTGAGTGTGTCATGATGAATGAGTTCCTTATTATTTCCTATTTTTCTCTTGTTCTTGGAGGATCATAAGCACAGTGCTTTGTTTAAAAGATGCGTCACAAAATACTCTAGAAAACCTGACCTATACTTTTGTTTTTAGAACTTCAATTAAGAGAACTATGTAAACTACACGAAAGACGGAAAAACTGAAAACTTTGTTTATTCAATATTTTTTTCGACTTGAACTTTTTTCTTCTGCTATTATTTCCGTAAAAAGTGAGGCAAATATGAGCACCCTGTTCTTTGTGCACTTTCGACTATGCTTTTTCTCGTGGTCTGTAAACGAAACGTTTTAAAACAGATGGTGTGTTGAAAAAAGAAGTTTCAAAAAAATGATCCCCATTTTCAACATTGAGCCCAAGTAAAAAAAAACCAAAACTAGTCGAAGTTCTGATTTGGTAGTTAAGTGGTGAGAGGGATCATTTCTGATCAAAATAAAACAAATCTTGATGAAAAGAAAGCACAACTACATCCTGAATGATGCGTTCGATACAATTTCTGTAATTCTACGGCTCAAAAAATTGTATGAATTGTCAATTATTCTCGTTCATCCCGCTTTCGATGAACTCTCATTTGGTATATAATTCATTTTTATATCACTATTGGTTAGAGCTGTACCCTCTTGCAAAACGTTTCACACCACTATGTATACCACATTGTAATTGTTGCTTTTTTTTTCTCCATTTTTATCGTTAATCGTATCATTTATATGAAAAGTACACGTTTTTATACGCAACTAGGAGAGATAAGAAAAGAATGAGAGAAGAGTCAAGGAGAGCGAGTTGAGTCATGATACATTGTTACAATCGAAAGAAGAATAAAGTATATGATATGAAGACATGACAAGGAAAGGTTGAACATTACGTATGAACAATACATTCAACCAAGTAATGTGATTAGATAATGGTGCACAATAAGATCCATCCAAAGAAGAGTTTTTCTCTCAGAAAGGTTTTATCTGATAAATGTTTTTGACGGACAACTATGAAAAATTCTATCCATGGTTTTATTGCAGTACATATTCAAAGGAATTTTTGACAGCCGTTAATATATCTTATCGTATGTTAAAAAAACATGTTTCTCCAAATGATAGTCATTCGTAAGAACATTTGGAATTACGTATGAAATCAAATTTTTACATGTTAAAACCCTCGAACTAGCATTTTTATTTGAGTTTTTGTTTCCGTTTTTTCTTATTGTAAAAACTCTAAATGATATGAAAGTTAACAGACGAAAGAAAACTAAAGAATATGTAATATATTTCGCGTGTTAGATATCAATAAGCGCTCCTGTCTTTTGTCAAATATCTGAATGCGTAAATAGTCGACTTTTTTGATCCAAGCCTCATTCACTAGAAGAAAACAAGGCTACACATACATATCAAACATATGATTTTATATCTGTAGCCGCTATGTTATACAGTCATTTTTTAAAATAGGCATTCAAGAGATCATGCCGTTATTGATATTTGGTAGTTCCGATCATCTTTCGTAATGTTCTGAGAGATTTATTGTAGCTTTTTGGGAAGCTACTGTTCCACTAACGAGGGAACATTCCCAACTGATAAATAGTTTTTTGACTGGTTTCTAATGAGTGTATTACAAAATTATCAAATTTTCTCACGGCTCTTTTAAAGAGCTGAGATTTTCAAGGTAAACACCTGCTTCATGTAAAAGGTAGAGAAACAGTAGAAAATTAATCTTCATATTTCGACCTCTAATTTTTAGCCACAGCTCGAAACAATTCAGTTTTCTCTATTAAGTTTTTTTGGGATATAACTGTCGCAATTGTTCCAATGTTTACCATGAATTTTGTATTCATGGTTTCTAGGTGCGGCTAAAATCAGAGGTCGAAATATCGAGATTAATTTTTCGGCTGTTTCTCTACTTTTTACATGAACGTTTTTCGTAGATTAGCGATTTTCTACACAGTGAGCTGAAAATGTTTTGTTTCGTTGAATTGTCGAGTTTTAATTTATGGTAGAAGTTTACGTTGAAAATTCCAGCCCTTTAAAAGAGCCGCGAGAGAATTTGATAATTTTGTGATATACAAGTTATTGATCGATTCCAACTATGACCATGGGGTCTATTCATAGTCCTTTGAAGATCAGATTTCCTGGAAAATCAGTCTTTCAGAAAACATTTAATGCTTTTTTTTCTGTAAATTCTGTAGCTTTGTAAAGAAAATTCGTGTAGAGCTTGAAGATGTCTCATTTTAATCAAAAACTTGCATGCTATAATAATACCTTGTTAAAAAAGATTTTGATTTATTTGTTTAGAGTTTCTGGAAGACTGGTTGCACATCTACTAGATTTCGATCAAAAAGCGATTTATCAGTTGGAGATATTTCCTCATAAGCGTCTATTGCACATCATAAAGTTTCTATATTTATCTACAGATGGTAGTATACAAATGGTCTTATTTTATATTTTTCAGTTCTGTTTCTTGAAATATATAGCGATGGTGCTGAAATGTTGAAACTGTCCCTTCGACTAACCGTATTACAGAAAACTTTGATAACGTCGCATTAAAATGTAGATTTCGACTAAAATTTCCAGAGATGCAGATTTGAACGATAATGTGTGGGATTCTAAGAGAAAAGCTCAGTTCGCTTTTCTGACAAACTGTACACAAATGTTTTTCACTTTAGATTTTTTTGTCACTACTGCTGGTCATCTACGTTAATCTGTCAAAAAAATCTGAACAATGACTGACCATAAATATGTCTTTTACGGAACTATAATAGATACACCTGATCCATCGACATTACGAATTAGAAAACAGCATGTTTGTGTTGTAAACAAAGGCAAAATAGAAATGATTGAACCGTCTGCCAGTCGAAATCTTGACGAATACCAAAATTTCATGTTCATCAAGCTAAGTGAAAGTCAATTTATCTGTCCTGGCTTTATCGATTTGCACTGTCATGCTCCTCAGTATCGCCAAGCAGGGAGTGCAACAGAAGTTCCTCTTCTCGAATGGCTCCGTAAATTCACTTTTCCAAACGAAGCTCGATGTTCTGATCCTGTATACGCACGGGATCTTTATACGAAACTGGTTTCTAGATTATTACGCAACGGTACGACGACAGCTCAGTATTTTGCGACGATAGACCTTGAGGCAACAAAAATTCTAGCTGACATTTGCCAAGAAAAAGGACAGCGAGCATATATCGGCAAAGTATGTGCAGACCAAAATTCACCAGATGTTTATATCGAGACGGCAGATGAAAGTGTTCGAAATACAGAGGAATTTATCAACTATGTTCACCATATGCAAAAAGGAAGAGACATTGCTGGAGCAAATGCTTTAATACATCCCGTTATTACTCCGAGGTTTATACCGACATGTTCGATAAATTTACTTTCTCAATTAGGACAATTAGCGAAGAAATACGATGTTCACGTACAATCACACATTGCAGAAACAGCAGATCAGGTTGCATTCGTACATGATCTTTATCCAAGTATTGGTAACGGGCGAGACGTAGCTATATTTCGCGAAACTGGCCTCTTGACAAACAAAGCAGTTTTTGCTCATGGAGTTTATTTAGCAGACAACGAAGTTGACGAAATGGTTATAAGTGGAAGCGCGGTAGCCAGTTGTCCAGTTGCGAACTTTCTTTTCTCCAAGGGAGTCACGGCAATAGAACATCTTAAAAGAAGAGGATTAAAGATTGGTTTGGGAACGGATATTGGAGGAGGATATTCAAGCAACATGCTTCCTGTTGTGCGTGCTGCTGTTTTGGCAAACAGAACGATGGATTTTGTCTCGTTTGATCGTTCAAATGCTATATTACCAATTTTTCCGGAGCATAAAGATGCTATTATCGATTTTAAATTTGCTTTCTATTTGGCCACTCTTGGAGGTGCACAGGCTTTGAATATTGATTCACAAATTGGAAGTTTTGAAGTAGGAAAGCAATTTGATGCATTACTTATAGATTGTAACAAGGAAAATCAAGCGTTTGATTATTGGAAAGAGGATGAAATGAGCATTATATTTGAGAAATGGGTGAATTCCGGAGATGATAGAAATATTACTGGGGTTTGGATTCAGGGAGTAAAAGTAGGATATACTTAGTATAATATAAAGATTGGTATTTCTGTCAATTTAGTAATATGTGACATTTTTTCATTTCTACATGGCTAGTAAAAAATTTTGTAATGTTAGTTTTTCATTTTAATAAACGAAATAAAATGTAAGCATCTTCACAAAGTGTGAAATATAACAGCTAATGATCAAGATAAATGCAAAAAGAGTATTATTTAATATTATGGGTGTAGGATGTGGCTTTAGGTGTTGGTCTCAATGTTCAAAGAGCGAAGGTCAAACCCAAATCGATACACATATTTGACACCAACATTCACACCCATACTCACTTAGTTAATCAGTTTTTAGCTATGGGTGTCATTCGCTATTGAAGCCTTTACTTCCTTTTGTCTTCTCATAGAAAGTTAAAAAAATCAAAAACAACGGTACTGTATAAAAATTACGTACAGACCATTCTGTTGTTTGAATGAGAGCATTCACTGTCGGAAGAAGTCATATCAAAATAAACCGTTATTAATCTAATGACAAAAACACTTTTGGGAAGACAATCAGAAAAAAAATTAATTTGTTATGGCATCATTTGATTTTAATAAAATTTGATGTAGCCTACAGAAAAACTAAACTTTTCTTAATCTTTCCTTCAAGGATGACCATAGATTCAGTATACTAGTTCATTATCTTCATATGTTGACTCTCAGACGCTTCCTCAACCGATCTCATTCGACTGTCTACTTCATGCGTTGTCCCATAAGATGAATACTGGAAAAGAGTCGTGGTTAGTTTTTATGTCTTAACTGTATAAGAATATTCACAATAGGTCTCATAAGCAATTGGAATGTAACTGTCATCACCACAGCTCCACCGTCGTTGTATTTTGTCAGTAATGCCAGTGTGAATTTCATCGGTGGCTGATGGATCACTATTGCTTCGTTTATTTTAAGTTTTAGGTTGTAACATAAGTCCTGCAAGTTTCTTTGCTCGGCAACAAATTTATTTGATAACAAAGATACACCCACATCCAATTTGCAGAGCTTATGTTACAGTTCAATAGAAAAATATCAATATGCTACAATTTGAGAAAAGCTTCTATTTCAGTTCATAACTACTGTGAGCAAAGAGTATGGCTTTCGGATATTACATGTCTATCGATTCGGAAAATTTGTGAGGTCTTCAGTTTTTTGAATGATTCTTCTCGACATCCAGCTGATGCACATTGTCAAGCTTTCTTTGATGTTCAGAGAAATGTATGACGCGACTATTATTGCTTGACTTAGATTCATTTCTTTGAAGTCGAGTCAATCTAGATCTTCCATGTTGTTCATTGAATGATTGATTCAATCGAGAGTGAGTTGGTAAGTGAGGAGATGGCGTAGAAAATGTATTCGGTCTTTCTTTGCCATCAACCTCTATATTGATCCGTTGACGTCGTTCGCGATCAAAAAGGTGATACCATTTTGGTGGAAGTAACTCAATAAGACTTTCATAGAATGAGATTTGTTCTTTCTGTGCTGATGCTTGTGCTCCATATGGTTGGTACCGACACAAGTCGACATATGCTGACGGATCTTCTTCGTACATATCCAGAATACTCTTCACTAAGCATATTACTTTCTCTTCGCTCTCAGGTGTTATCAATTCTCGATCCTGGGCATGAAAAACATCGAGATCAAAGTCTTTGGCATACGTCTGCAAATGATTCAAGTCCGTAAGACTGGCCGGATAGAATTCGTTGTTCGATCGACCAGAAACCGATGATATTTGATCTTGATCTTTCGAGGGCGTTATCAGTCCTTTCGAATGCTTGGCCATTGATTTACTCAATACGATGCTCTCACTTCCCAGTAAACTTAGTCTCTTATTGTGAACAGTACCATTTTCATGAATATTCCTGTTATAATCACGGGCTACTTTTACATCATGATGAAAGAATTCCACGATTTCTTTGCTGACCTGATGCAACGGTACTACTTCTTTGATACGAAGAATAACCAAGGCCATGACAATAATACATAGAATATTCACTACGGCAAGAAGAAAACTGCAACTACCGAGTATTGCCGCTTCATGAGGCATATAACATGAATAGTATGGCAAGTAATCATTGTCGACATATCGAGAACAATTGATGATAGGATCGTTGGGATGAAGTCGATTTCGAAATTGAAAAAATAGCTCACTCGTTTGGACATTCGAGTTATTACTTACTATAGTACGAGCTACACTTGTTATCGTATGAGAAAGTATGGAATATGCAAGGAGAAGGCCACAGTTTACCGCCGGAGGTAGAAGAGAAGCTAAAAATCTTTGTAAAAGTTAAATCATGGGTTTATAAAGATTTACGTACCGGATATAGCCACACCGACCAACGAGCCTTTGATAAATACGAAAGATAGTATTAAAATATTATACAGTTTGTTCTTACCCGTGTTTCCACCAAGAATAGATAATGCAACACCAGCACCACTCGGCAAGGCAATCAGAACACCTACCCAAAGACGTTTGAGATCACCCCGACCTTTCATTTCTGAATTAGGAAAACTTGTTGAACTTCCCCAGCTGGTTTCAGCATATGTAGTACATAGACTAGATCGAAAAAGATCAATATGTCAATAGTATGAAAATCTACTCACCCAATGATAAAACCCCATAAGACACAGAGAGCAAGACCAATCAACTCATTTTGAATGCCACGTCGCCACAGTGAATGTTCACGTACTGACAAACCAAACACGATGCCCATGATCGGATTCATCAGTGGACTGACCAGCATACTGGCTACAATGATCACAGACGAGTTCTCTAGAAGTCCGAAACCGGCGAGCATCGAAGCAAGACTGATTAAAACGACATAATCGAATGAGAGTTCTGTAGCAGCTCGAATACCAGCGACTACTTGATGCACCATTAGTCGAGCTCGAACACTTTCCTTAAATTTGGATGCGTTGATACGTTTTTGAACTTTGCTTTTTGACGCAGAATCTTCAGATGATGCTGGTTGGCAACCATTAGCAAGATTAGAAGTACTTTCAACTGTCTTTATGTCCGTGTTCAAGATGTTATTTGACGCAGGATGGCGGTTTCCCATAACCACAGTAGCAGGAACAACACAAACTTGACTGCCATTCTTGATACCGATATCTCTTTGATTCAAATTAAATAATATTCGATCACTCTTAGCTCCGAATTCAGCATGAAACGTGATTTGATAAGTTTTTTGATCGGCAGATGGTATCCAAACTGGCTTGAGATCGACTCTATCAGCTAAATACCTCTTCAACTTGACGCATAGTGATGAAGATGTCTCCTAAACATGAAAGTAGAAACGCTCAGATTAGTAACACTGTTTGATCAGAAAAATGTTACCGTTGCCTCTTGGATGTTGCCTTCTTCTGTTTGATCATTAGGAATGGTAACAATGAAAAGTGCATAGTCTGCCGCCATGAACAAGTTCTTATTGTTTCGTGTGTCAACTATCTAAAACAGATACCATTGGAGATATCCTGTGAAAAAATTTAATTAATTCATCACATTCATTTTGTATAGTGCACTTAACGATCGTCAACCAGTGACACGATTTTTGAGGTCTCATATATGAATACGACATTAGCCTCCAAGAATTGAAACAGTTGGGGTCTTACTGGCTTCACACGGACTAGAACTTGGTATGTCAGTATGAAGTACATTCTTTAATCTCAGCCTGCCAAAATTGAACGCAAGCTATGTAAATATTATAGGAACTTTTCAAGAATGATAAGTGAAATTTACAATTGTAATAAACACTTCTTTTCCTTGAATGTTCCTAATTTATTCTGAATGAAGAATTTATTGAATTGATATATAATTGTTCGCCATTAACAAAAGTTACACTCAACAGATGCTTGTTCCATTTATTTGACTTATATTGTCAATGAAAACAATGATACATTCTTCTATAATTTAAACAGTGACTCTTTCAATGGTTTCAATCATTCTTTGTGTGTTTTCATGTTACATTCGACATGCGACTATGAAAAGACACTTTCAAATGATTAATGTCAACATAAATCACACGTTTTGTTGTACAATGTGTTACGAATATACTAATACAGTTGCTAAAGAATATGTAGTCCATGTCTGACTACAGTCGAGATTTTACTAAAATAAATAAAACAAACTGACGTATGAGCAACAAAGTTTTATCATCAAAGAGTTAATCCAGATGTATGTCTAAGTTATGCTATTTCAGGTGGTATTTACAGAGAAGCTATTGACGATTCTCATAAGAGTATTAATATATGGCACAAGTTCTTTTCACTTTATATAAACTGAACTTGAGCAAATACCCTATTCGTTTGTTGCACAGCATGATCGGTTGGCTGTACTTCTCAATTAAAAATTTGATAATAAAACATTGATGTCGATATTACTTGTTGTTTTATTTTTCTTACTAGGAAATATTCCCAAGTATTATTACATTAATTGCTGATACAGTTTTCAGATCGAATAAACGTCATGGAGGATCACGTATCGGTATAAAACGCAAAGATTGGTGTATACATACATTTTAAAAAAATTGCAAAATAATAAACTTTTAAAGAGCTTATGAAAGTGAACTGTATGGAAAAACCCTTTTGTACTGTTTATGAAATCTTCGTAAGTCCTTTACAAAAGGTGTATAATATTCATAAATTTTTAAAAGGTTTGATATTTATTGCCCTTTCATAGACACTTCATAAGGGTATATAAACTTCTTAAATGCTTTCATGTAATCTTAAAACCAATAATCGACAGAATATCTGAGACAATTTATCAGCATCAATAAACGTCTCAAAGATTTATGGAAAGATCTTTGAAAGGGTTCATAATCGTCATTAACCGTGCTAAGTAGGGGCAAACCTTTATCTTTATTGTTTCTTAACACTGAAGGACGCAGATAAATAAATCTTTTATCTTTAGGAAATAATAGTAAAAGAATGAAAAAAATTATCGTTTATAAAACAACGATCAAGATAAGTAAAGATTTATTTTTTAAAAACAAAGATAAACTATAGCAAGAAAGGGTACTTTCACAAGAGGTAATGTGACTGAAAGTGTTCTCCAGGCCTCTCTTCTCATTTACGAACATGACCTCGAAATTGTCAAACTGTTAAATTTGGTTTCCTTTGTTTGTTTTTAATTTAAATTAGTCGAAAAGAACACCTCAATTTTTACTTTTAACCTGCTGCCATATATATAGAGTTTGCTAAATATTTAATTTCACTATTTCTATTTAATGAGCTGTAATTTGTAGAGCGCGCTACACTACTGCTCTTTTCTTTTTCTTTTCTAAGAACTGTGGCAGCTCTACTAAGTTGAAAAACTTTCTGTGATTAAAAACTTGTGCCCTCTACAAATTAGGGTACGTTTTATTAAAATTTTTAAAAACGATTTATTTCCTATAGGCTTTCTCATTCATTAAATATTTGAAATTTAACTATTAAATTCAATCGCTTTACAGAAAAGTTATAAAATTATCAAATTCAAATGAACCGAAAATTTAGAACAATTTAATTTCACTTAAACTTAATATTCTTAATGTTCGCAAATGAGAAGTAGCCAGTGTGAAAATCCTTGACTATACTACCTTCAGAAGGTACACTGCGACACTTCTTGTGGTTCGGAAAATCTGTACTGGTTTTACACGAAACTTATCAGACTTCGAAATCTAAAAATGTTTCGCCTTGTTTGTACGATACCTTATAAAGTATACGAAAGTTCTACAAGATTTCGTAAGTTCACAGTGTACTGTTTTTTCAGTGTATTCAGTATGGTCCGTGAGGATCATCAATCGCAACAATCGTCTATGAATAGATATATGAAGCCCTAGATAGAGGCGTTCAAGGTGACCACTAACTTAAAGAGGACTTCTGATACAGTAAACGGAGGTCTTTATTTTATGAACTATACAACGATGACGATAGAGTTATGAAAACGACTGTTAAATTACCAAAACGCTTGAGAATCCCACAGTGCTCAAGTATAGCTAGAGCGAAGTAACAAATAAGACTGCGAACAAAAACACAAAGAAACTGAATCTTTTTATGCTACTCGTATGACAACATATTGCCAAAACATAAAAACATCTGCGTGACGAGAAAACAAAAGTAAATTATTTTCCTTTGTTTCGTTCAAGAGACCCTTCACAGCTATCAGCAGAACTGAATCAAGAACAAAAAAATCAGAGTAAAGAGAGTTCTGTTAACATAGTTTCGTTCACATAAAGCTGATTAGCTATCAGAATACCGAATTACAAAAACAAAAGAAAAGGTAAGCGCAGTTGTTCCATTTTGCTTATCAGTTACTCATCATCTATGAGTAGAACTAGATACAGAATGAAGAAGCAAAATAAACCACGTTATTCAATTTCTGTCGTAAAACCGTGAACAGCCATGACGATAACGAAATGACGAAAGGAAAATTAATTACAATGTCATATTCGATTTTTCTCAATAAGATGCTGAACAGTTATTCGAATCACTCAATGAAGACAAGAACAATAAATTGAGTTTTTCTAATCCTATTACTCTAACAAAATGGACACGAACAAGCGATAAAACTAAATGAAGAAAGGCGGAATAAAACTAAATCGTGGAACTTTTCTCTTAAAAATGTAGGACAGCTATAGAGATTCTAAAATGAAAAAAGATCGAATTCAAGTAAACTCACGTATGTGATTTCTGTTATAAGGTGCTTGATAGTTATCGTGATAGCTAAATGAAGTGATGCAGATTAATGTTACTTTTCTGATTTCATTTCTTTTGTAAAGTGCGTGTCAACTATTTGAGTACATAATCGAACAAAGAACAGAGTCACCTAAACAAGCCTATTCAATATTTATCACAAGAGCCTGGACAACTATCAAAACACCTATATCATAAAAACAAGCATATAAAATAACCTACTATTATGCTCAGAATAAGATACTATTCTAAAGAAAACGTAAATTAATCTACCTCTATGAGAAGAATAATCAACACTTACTCTTAAATCGTAAAATCATAAAACCTTTTGCATGAAACAGTAAACCCTTTGCTAAAGTCGTACACTAATTTTCCCTTGTTGCTGAAATCGTAGAAAAATTTACTTTTATACATAGGACGATAAACCTGTTTCTTGAAACTGTAGAATAATATACCTGTATGAGAAAACTAATAAATCACTCTGATAGTGACACAGAATACTCTGCATTTCTGAGAAGAACAATAAATTCTTCTGATAGCAACCTCGAATAATCTATCTTTATGGGATAAATAATAAATCCTTCTGATGACAATGCACAATATTCTACTGTTATGTGTCAAATAATAAATCATTTCAATGGACACTTTGAGGAATAGATTCTCAAATATGCGTCATACAGACTTTCGATTTTCATATAGCTTGGTCATTAAAAACTTTTCGGCTTAGAAATCTCTGAAGAGTATATGACATAGGCGTAAACACTTTAAGAGTTTATGTGAACTTTTCTAAATGCAAGAGTTGAGTTTTCTGGATGTGAGTGTGATGTGAACAGAGGTCCTCTCCTCAAACATACACTCACATCCTCAACGATTCAGACAATATGTAATACTGGCAAGCTATGTTCACATTTGGAAGGATCTATCTGTACTAAGTAATAAAACAAGAACTTTGAATGGTTGGTAAAATATGAATTCTTAAGTGAGCTCGAAATATCGAGTTTACGTATCAAGTTCACTTTGTTTGACCTGTGAAAGGTGACTT